CCAAGGTTCATAGATCTTACATTCCAGGTTCCTATGCAGTATTTCCCATTGCAGCATCAGACTTTCCTTTCACTTCCAGGCACATCTGCAGCTGAGCGTCATTTCAGCTTTGGCCCAACCACTTAATTAGCTCTGGAGCTACTTGTACTTGTCACCCGCTCTTCCTCAGTAGCATGTTGGACGCCTTCTGACCTGAGGGGCTCATCTTCCAGTGTCATAACATTTAGCCTTTTGTTTCTGTCCATGGAGTTTTCTTGGCAAAGATGCTGGAGTGGCTTACCAGTTCCTGCTCCAGGTGGATCTAAGTCAGTCTCCCTGCACTGCATAGCCCATAGCTTCTCTGAATTACTCAAGCCCCTTTGCCACGACAAAGCAGCAATCTATGAAGGGGGACAAGATATATTTTACCAAAAATATGATAAACTCAAGCCAAAGCCTTTCCTTGCCAGCCTAACATTCTGGATTTTTAGGGCTGCAAACCATGACTCCTTACCTTCTTGATGAGAGCATATCTCAATTTATTATAACTTTTGAGAAAACACATTTTCATCCCTCCCTCCATATGTTAACATTCATCTCTTGTTGTATTGTGTATTTCTAGGGGTCATGCACTCTGGGTGCCATTGGGAGCACATTTATATTAACAATCTGTGCTTCTGTTTCTCTAGACAGCTTGATCTTTTACCTTTAAGATGAAGAGCCTCCAAAGACTTGAGCTGATAATTTTGATTTGTCCTCTCCTGCTTCACAATAGTACGTAAATGGAGTAAGGAAGTTTCTCCTGCTCTCTATACTTTGTGTACACTGCCCACATAAAAACCACATAAAAACTGTTACAAAATTTACAAAAGATATGTAGCTTGCCTCTCCCATTCCTGTCAGATGCAGATGAAGAGGTTCTCTTTAATGGAAATTAACAAATTGACGTAAGATATATGAAGGACAACTGATCAATAAAATGGACACACAAGTACAATGCTGAAAAGTAAGCACTATATTATTGACTGTAAGTCTAGCAAAGGGCAAGAGTTGATCACTATGATGTGAAATAAAAATACAGTATTATTATATTAATACACACTTTAAATTATAAGAAAGAAGACACCAGAAGAGGTTGGTTACATTTCTAGCAAGCCTTTTATTTTGCTCGGCTTACCTCAGCTACTGAAGTGACATGAGCCAATACATCATTTTTTTAGTAAATACAACTATATGAATGAACACCAACCAGTAAAAATGACTTCTCAGCCACATTAGGATAACATCCAAGGGGAAAAAGTGTTCAGAAAAAGTTTAAAACAGATGTCTCTTTTTAATCTAACACAGTCAAGTACATTCAACTTTATAAGCAATGCTCATTGTAGCGGTAGACTTTGCCTCATCTTGACTCTTCTATCTAACAGTATGCAGAACGGCTCACAATATAGCACTATATTGAATATTTGGTGATGACAATTTAATACCAAAAAGTAGCTTGAAAGATGGGACGATACTGTCTGTGGTCCGGGGCAGTCAGAGCTTAACCTGGTGACATCTGTTTCCAACCTGTGCACCTACTCTAGTTATGCCAGGCAATATAGGGCAAGCTCAGAAGACAACTGATGGTTTTAGTTCCATGCCACAACACTTTTCTTGTGGCCGAAAGTATGGTGTGATTCAGCAGCCTCTTCTGTGCACACGCAATGAGAATATTAAATTTGTTGTTATGAATACTTTCCTATTACCTATTATTCCATATCAGATTTTGAATATCACTGAACAGCCAACTGATACTGATGATGTTTCGGCCAGTCTGGTGTTTTGAAAGGAGCAGAGAAGAGGCATAAAACAACTAGGATTTGCTGTATTGCCAATTCTACCTTTTGGCAAATGCTATTCGCCAGCTGAATATAAAGGTTTATTACGTCCAGTTTCCATGTTAGTAATTCACTGTCCACCTCAATTTAGCAGACACAGCAACATGAAACTCAAGAAGAAAGAACACACCTCTGTGTGATAACATCCTGCACCCTCTCAGGGGAACATGCTTGCTTCCTCTGTTCTAGACCGAGTGCTGCAGATTTACAAAAGCAAAGGGTACAAATCTGGCCAAACACATGTTAACCTTTAGTATTTCCATCACTGGCTGTACATATTCACTTGTTCAAATAAAAAAATAAACAAATAGAGGCTTTCAAATGAAAGCATATAGTCCCCCAGCCACTCTGAAGTAGACTCTTCTTACGAAACCCAGACTTAGACTTTAATAATCCATTTGCTGCCACAACACTTCTGTTCCAAAATTTGCCCAAATCCAAGTGATACTTTCCTCTTGTAAAATAGAACTAGAGCGTTCATTTTATTCCCAGATATTCAGTCTGTTTCCATGGCAACACTGCGGGATTCTTTGGCTACCATGAGTCGCATTAGTTGACTGTGGAATTTCTCAATCTTCTTTACATCTTGAGCCTGGTCTGTCCTATATAGCAGACACTGGGCAAAAAAGAGGGATGGAGAGACTTAGTAGGGTTTCTTTCAATGTTATAACTCTCATTTTAAAATTTTCTTGTAAGACAGATGCCAAGAAAATATATCATTGAATATTGCTTTAGAAACAATACATTTTGGAATACAGTGTCATTTGCTTTGTATCCTGATAATCTGAGGACACAAAGCTCCATCTTTCACCCAACCATGGCAATTTTTAGAGCACTGTATTTTTAATTTAATTTTAATTGTTTTATCTTTTTATTGTATTCAAATTGTAAGCCACCCAGAGACTTTTGGGTAGTGTGGGTAGCATATGTTAAATAAATAAATACACAAATAAACCTTAATCAAAATATCTCCTTAACTTCTGATGAATTCATACTGGAGCCCTTTAAGAGAAGGTTCACTACTGCTAGCCTGTTCCTATTCCCACATCACAAGAATTTCATGGAACATAAGAAAAACACCAGTTAGCCAACCAACACATCTCTACTTGTAAAAAAAGGGATTTTATACATTCTTCCACCATTAAAAATAATTTAAAAACTTTTTGGCAGTGCAGTGTTCTACATGTCTACTAAGTACATACTACTGCATTTAAGGAGACTAACTCCAAGTCAACAGATAAATAACTGCAGCCTATATTGTCACCCAGTGTCTTATCCTGAGACGAACAGGTTTTCTTTAGCTTAAAAACATAGATTTAAGTGTATTTACACATCTGTACAAGGACAACCATGCTAGTTACCATAGGTATGTTCCAGACTCTCTCATGGGCCCAGTCCTCCCAACTGTACAATCATCATGCAACCAGCCCTAATTCTCTTACTGCATATGCACAGAGCAATGAAGCAGAGCTTTCTCAAGTAGTCAAGGGCATATTACAGTACCTTGAGATAAGAATGAAAAGTAATAAAAAGCCCACATAAAGAGCACACCATTTTGCATTAAAAAAAAAATGTTCAGATTCACTCTGGCTTGGACACTGTAGCTAATATAGATTCAGTGGATTTTATCTTGTCCCCCATTTGTTTGGAAGTAATGGGTACTTTTCAGTTGGTACAGCCCAAAGATCTTTTCAACAGGTGAAAGCTACCACATATATGCAGCATCGTTGTCCTTCATAGCTTATAAAACCAGCCTGGAGAGGATTAATTTGAGCAGGTAAGGAGAGTCTTAAATGCCTCCTTGGAATAAGGCAGAGTTCCTGAATGTCTAAAAGAGACACTAATAAGACTGTTGCTAAAATGCCCCGTTTAAATCCCTCCACACTGGACAAATACTGTTTCCAATGCTCCATTCATAGGCAAGGCATCAGAGCTTTTGGTAGTTTCTCAGCTTTTGGTAGTTTCTCAGCTCCATAGGCTCCTGGATGAGACAGGTTATCCAGATCCACTAGAGTCTACTTTCAGCCCCACATATAGGACATAAACAGCTTTGGTCACCTTGGTAGATAACCTTTGTTGGCAATTAAGACACCATGAGTGTGTCCTTGTTGATTCTGCTGGACCTCTTGGGAGATATCAACACCATTGATGATCCTTTTGGCATGGGACTTGAGGCAATGTTTTGCAGTGGTTTCAGTCCTCCCTGGAAGATCTTAGAAGGTGGTGCTATTCTGTTCTGTCCCTCGTTTTATTCAGCAAATACTAGAAACCACTGGAAGAGGTTGTTCAGTTTTGGTGTTTGTTGCTGTAAGTACACAGATGACAACCAAACTCTATTTCTCTTTTCCTTTCAAATTTGAGGAAGCAGTCTCTGTTCTAGACCAGTAGTAGATGCTCCTGGTCAGTCTAAAGGCAAATCAGAAAATAGAGATTCCACCTGTGCTGAACGGAGCTATACTTCCTCTGAACACTAAGCTTCACAACTTAGGCATTCTACTGGATTTAAGCTTGAGCCTGAATGCCCAAATCTTAGCTGCAGGCAGGTCGGCCATTTGCACAGTTCAACTGAGAACATCAGCTGCATTCAGTCCTGGAGACTTCTGATCTGGCTACACTGATACATGCTTGGTTACATCTGGTTTATATTACTGTCCTGTCCTGTCCATGGGTCTGCCTTTGTAAAGTGTTCAGAATCTCCAGTGGGTCCAAAATGCTGAAGTCAAGCTGCTGACAGGAACCATTTATAATTAAAAGAGAAATTATTTCCTATTATAACTTTCTTATTAATCTAAAATATCTGTTTTCTTTAGCTCAGAACACTGCAAACACTAAATTATAATAGTTGTTGAGTTTTGGCCAATTATGTTATACTGTCCTTTTAAAATTCAACTGTACTCAATAGGTAATATACTGTTCATGCCAATGTAACAAAAATCTACTGGCATAAATGTGCCATGCAATATGTCCAGCATCAAAGAACTACATTATACAATTGTGCAATCGCTCACACATCCCCGGTGCAAACTAATGCATTGGCAGATTGTTTCAGGGACATCACTTCTGCCTCGGTGCTAGCACAACTACCATGGGTGCAACCTCAAGTTGGGCATATGTAGCTGCACAACAGGATTTTGGCCACTGAATTTTAAACCCTAATATGAAAAATTAGGATTGCGTTTGAAAAAGCACAAATGCTTCCTGCTGAAAGCAGGTAGTAAATTTTCCAATTTCAGCAGTAGAAAGTTTGATACAGAATAAACCTTGTTAAAAACAGAAAATAAAATTTACTTAGGTTGTTGTCAACTCACCACACGTTTTTAAGCAAAATCAACATATCATTGAGAGAGCACACAGATTTTTGTTCTTTCTACGTCTTCTAGAGCTTGATTCTCCAGAAGTACGAGAAACATATTCAAAGTATGTTCTTCATTTACAGTTGATTTTATGATTGCATTTGGTTTACCAGTTTTGCTAGGGTGAAGCATTTCCATTCAGTTTTTCTCTTAGAACAGCTTATTTGTTGTGCTGTAACTGGGATTTGGATTAGGGAAATAGACAACCACAGATCTGTAGATCGTTCTATGGTAGTTTTAACCATCAAAAATCAAGTACTACTATGACTGGATGCAACTCCTTTCAAATATTAGATAACAGGAACAAAGAGGAACACCCACCAACTTAATGCCTTAATCTGTGAGTTCCAGAAGCACCTCGCTGGCTGCTTTCGGAAAATGGACTGGGTAGGATGCACATGTCGTCAGACATGGAAAATTGCTGTTATGTAATAAACCATAAGCAAAACTGGCCTTCCTGTGAACTTATTAAGAACTTATTAAAATAGCTTTCAATGTACAATACACAGAGACTGTATCATCCAATACCAGTAAGTTAATTTAAAAGAACAAAACAGAGAGCAGGAACATTAGTATTATAAAAATTCACACATCAATTCTGAGGTAGTGTTTCACACTCTCAATTTCAAGATATAGAACTTTTTCTTCTGCCACTCCAGTGCCACAACACATGGAAAAAGCATCAGCTGCGCCCACAAATTTGCTTCTTTGTGGAGTTTTCAGGGTAAACGAGACAATATATGTGAGCTGCTGCCAAAACCCATCAATATTTCTTTGTTTTAACACAATTTAAAAAAAACAGCACAAGGCAGTTTCCAGTTTCAGCAGAGTGAACAGCAGAATGTTGAAGGTTGAAAGTTGCTTTACACTTCCCTATTATTTAGGCAATCATACTTCACAAGCAATACTTACCATCAACGCACACCTCTGAATGAATGAGTTGACACCCTGATCTCTTCCCTGAAAGTGGGAAAGAAGCTTGGCAGATGCAGTGAGATTTTAAGCACACTAATGAGAGAACTGGTTAAGTACACATTCTGCATAAACAACTTTCAGCACTGGTTTTCAGATGAATCTAGAGGTTTAAAATGCTGTTCTTACAAATATTTTGGTATGACTATTAGAAAGTTACACTGCAAAAATCATGCTGCAAATCTTTTACTTACAACAACATCATCTGTTACTTTGATGCACAGATTTCCATCACAATGCCGGTATTTGAGTACCACACGTACCTGAAACAACAAAAGCATCAATTTACAGCTCAATAAGTGACATCTCTATGTCCAATGTCTCTACACAATAATCTTATTGGTTTATAAAGTACAATTCTTTGATCAACCACTGAAACTTAGTTTCCATCCCATTCATTCTTTTTTTACTGGTACATCTGCACAAACAGATGTGCCTTAGTCATTTGGAGACTGAAAATAACACACATGTGGATACAGTAGCATTTCATTGTCTTCTATCAATCTGTATTTGCCACACGTATCTAGACAAGTGGCCACGGATGGTCTGTGGACTGAGAAAAAGTGTGTCTCCACCTCAATTTGAAGGTGAACCTCCCTTGGTGCACAAAATTGAGGCCATGTATAAATCCACTCTAATCCAATAACACTGAAATGTTTCTGAAATTGCTTTTATTTAATTCCGTTAATCTAACTGGCCCTAAGGAAAAAGAGAGAACCAAATTTAGCTAGGCCCTGGAAAATGTTCCATGGAGAGATTGAGGTTTAAACTTTGAACCATATATAGCGAGAGGGCACATCTAGCAAGATGAATAAGTATTTTGCTCCACTTGTAATTCAGGACAACTCAAGACATAACAGTAATTATTACTATGAGATGTAGTACTTTCAGAGTAGTTTCAGGATAAAATCCTGATGTTCAGAGAGAATGTCTTGCAACATACTTTCAACTGTAAATGTCACCAAGATCTTCTAGAAAGCTGTGAACACAGAAAGCTCCCCCACCCCATTCATGCCATACAGGACAAGATCACTGCCTAATATAAAACAAATTAGGGAGTTCTTTCAAAATCTAATCAAAGTTGTCGATTTGGAGGCACAGGAACAAGCAAGAAAAATATAAACGTTTGGAATATAATATGGCAGCTGTAATGACCTATGAAAACTTACGATTTTGGGTGTATTTCTTTATGCAATCATCTAAGTATTGCCCAATCTCAGTAGAGCCATCTTAGTCTCACACACACTTTGGAGTGGAGGCCAACAATTTCACAAACCAGCACAAATACAGAACAGCCAGCAGGTATTATTTAAGGATTAGCGACATCATCACAATATGGGGATCACTCATATTAGGTAGAATAAAGGTGTAACACAAGAGAAAGGAGCATAAGGTTTTCCAGACACTGTTGGACAGCTGCCACTGCCACTTTAGCCGAACACTATCCGGAGGGCCACCCGTTCCCCATCCTTTCTACGATACGTGCACCGAATTGTCAGGCGACCCCAACAGCAGCCTGGCCCCCATCTGCTTCCACGGCTCTTTCAGCCAGGCTCGGTCGGCTCCTTTCAGAGTCGCTGCCTGGTCCAAGCGACGCCTATAAGCCCATCCCCGCACCTTCATGGGATCAGACAAGTAGAGCTTCTCAGCAGCGCGGCTAAACTCTTCCCAGGTCTGATAATGCGGCATGGCTGGTCCACATACACCAGGAATGTACAGCTCAGCGTTCTGCCTCCCCAAGCAGAAAGATGGCGAGCTGAGAACCTCCCGACTCAAGCAACAAGCATCGTCATTGGCCTAACCAAGGGCTCTCGCCAATCCCGCAGCCCGTTATTCAGAATTCGCTTTCTCCTGTCCCCGCCTCTTCCGGAACTAGGCGGTGGCGAGGGAAGAGAGAGCGAAAGAATGCTACGGCGAGACTATAACCGGCTTCCGAAGCCTCTCTGAGTTCGCAGTGCCCCCTCATGGTCGGAAGGGGCAAAATATCTCGGGCGGTCGCAACTATTTGCCCCTAAAGTTTGAAAGGCCGCTGGTTTGTCCAATCTGAAAGAAGTCGGACAGTTAAGAAGCGGTGGATTCTGCTTTACTTTACTTCAGTTTGTAGATCTTTGCTGAATATTTTTCTTTTCTTCAGAACATTCCTTGTTTTCTACTCCTGAAAAACTGAAATTTGTTCAAGCAATAAAATTCAGTTATGCTTATGATTTTTATTTAATCAGTATCTGTAAGGCTTCCCATAACTAAACATGAACAGAATCCTACTGGAGTTCACATAAGGTGTGCATACCTTGGCACAAGTAATTGTGAGAAATCAGCAAGATGCCTGGACATTTGCCCAGCTGCCTAACCTGGTCAATTAGCTGCAGCAAGTTAAGCAAGCCTTGTGCCAGCACCAAAAAGATTCTGGCCAGTACTGTACGTGTCTCAAAAGTGGTGTATTAAAAAGAGAAAAGACATTAAAAAGACATTAGCTTACACATTTTCATCCTCCAAAGTCCGATTTCATTGGTTGCACACATTTATTTGTTTAAGTATTTTTACCTCACCTTTCTCCTTAAGAAGAACGCAAGTGGCTTACATCATTAAAATACAATAGTTATTTGAAGCTAAAAACAATAAGTATACAAATACTAAAAAGGAGGGTGAACAGAAGCAACATCAAAACACATTAAAAGCAGTAAGGCAAAACCATCCATTTAAGAACCCCACTCAAGCATTAAAAGAAATCTTGCCTGAGTGGGAGGGAGTTCCAAAGCCTGGGAGCAGCAACAGTGAAAATCCTCTCCTTTGACTCCATCAAATGCACCTGTGAAGGTGGTTGGACAGAGAGAAAGGCCTCTCCTGACAATCTTAAACCGTGGGCATAAATACAGATTTATAGAAGGCAGACATTCTACCATACTGGCACTGAATGTGTTGTAAATTATGTCCTCAAATTTCAGCCATTTGTCATATGTTTTTAAAAACACAACTACAATACTAATTGGTTAAAGTATTTATAAGGTTCAAAATGAAGTTTGTTTGCTTGTGCAAAGCTTTCCCAAAGCAGTTCCTAGCATAAAAGTTTTTTTAAAAAAGAAAAAGTAAAAGACAGAACTTGGCTAAATAACCAAGTTGGAATGGGCAGGATCAGGCTAAATAGGGTTGCTTAAGTTCGGACAGAGGTGCGTGGTGCAAGATTGGGTGGTTTCAGGTCAGGAAAACACACTGCACCTTATGTGACTGAGATGTCTGGGAGTAGGCTGGTTTGTGCTGGAACCTATGTTGTCTGGTCATGTCCATGTAGTCAGGCACACCGATAACTGAAACACAATACAAGCTAGTCACAATAGCAACTGACCAGTGGTTATGTTATCTGTGGCATTCTGGGAGTTGTGTTCCAAAAAAGGAACTTTCTCAAGATCTACCTGATGTGCACTTGACAGACAACAAGACTGTTGATGAATTAGAGATGCAGATAGGGAAGGCAACTGGAATAGGGTGGACCTTTGGGGAAGAAATGGATACACATGTTTTCTCTTGCTCTGCTTCTTAAAAACTAGCACACAGAGGCAGAGCTACAATGTTCCGTGAACCAGGGGAGGAAAAGCTTTTATTTTAAACTGGATTCAAGGTTTCCAGACAGAAAGATCTCTTATTAAAAAGAACATGACCATCTCCAAAGAAGCCTTCTTTTCCTTTTAAAAAAGGGAAACAAACCCACACGCTTGAAAACAACAACACAGGGTTCTCTCTTCTACAGGCAGATAGATGCCTTAGACCCAACCACAGCTATTCCAGAGGCTTGCCTATGAAAAGATATTGTGGTAGTCTAAAGCTGAAATGAAAGCCGCTCATTTCAGTGAAAGGCTGGAGGTCAAACAATTATAGAAACTCTACATTTCCTAACATCAGTTAAAGATGGTTAAAATTCATCTGGAGAAAGAGCAGAGGAAATTATGAAGTCTCCACCACCACATTAAACAAAATGTAGATGTACTGATGTGTGATTGATGCTGTTCTATAATTACAAACAGAGCCCAGATTCTTCCTTGTTTTTGCCCGCTTTAAAAACTGATATAATTGCCATAGTATAACAAGCGAAAAATAGCGAGCTCCTGTTATCTGCCTTAGGGGGATGCACTTAAAACCCAACGAAGTTCCTGATCTGAATCACAATGGAAGCTGCTGTTTTAGATTAGCTGAAAGAACAAGCCTCCGTGGTGGGCAGCCAAATAAACAAGTAACAAAACAACCCACAGAATAGCTCGGCCAACCAGAAGTTGAATTATGCAGAACAGCGACTCTGGGCTCCTGCTAGCAGCAAAAGAAGAAACTGCAGCCATGGGTTTATTGGCCACAAAAGATTGGGATGTAGATTAGAGGAAGGGGAAATTGTGAGAGAGGGCCTGGGCCTACCATCAGATAGATCTGAGGCATAATGAAAGTGCAGCAAATCTATTTTTATATTCTGTTTTTACTGTCAGAGATGGGGAAGGATGTTTGTGTGATTTATTGCCTCATGTGCCAAAATAATCTGGTTGACAGGGAAACTGTGCATCCTATCCTGGTTTAGCAGGGAGCTCTGTTTCCTGCTCTGCCACAGGCAGCAGAAGATCTTCGGATGGCCCTGTTGCGGGAGCAGAAATGCTAGTAGCGGATTATATTTCCAGCAGTAAAGTGATATTGGGGGTGGGGAGCATTCCAGTGATTGCTAAACTCTGGTAGCGGTTTGTCCACATAGGTTAAGTTTGTGCAGGTGTACCGCCAAAACAGCAAGCCACCGCTTAACAAGGTGCAGGATAGATGGTTAATTTGAGAGGTTCCTAGTTAAATTGTAATTTACACAGAAAATGGTGGTCTTTTGCCTGAAGAGCCATCAGGGAGAGAAGATGCTATGGAGCTGAGCGAGAACTTTTAGGCTGTTTTTTCTATCCCTGCTCTGCATTGGCCCACCAAACTGTTCCTCCTTCCCAAAGAATTCTTGGTTGAGTCTCTTCAACATAGTGGAAACCACTTGGGTTTGAAAGTGTTCTGGAAAAGGTGGCAGTGTTCCAAACTTCTTCTTAACTTGTACAGAAATGCCACATACCATATGAATGTATTTTATTTCACTTGGGTTGATTTTGTTGTGTTCATAATTTTTTTTCCTTGTCCAGAACACTCTACATTATTGAAACACTACCCACAGAGATGTCCCCAGTCTTTATAAGAATTAATTAACTAATCACATGGTCTGGCTTGAAAAAAGCAGAAGCCCTCAAGTGGCAGAGAAAAACAGCCGTGCTGGGAACAATAAAGGCTGGACCAATTTGAGTTAGCCTTTGCATTGTGTGCTCAGGAAAAAAATACTTCAAATTGACCCACTCTACAACTCCACAGTCAAACTAGAGAAATTCTCCCCTTCTTTCTTGTGTCTTCTGCTTCTTGTATAGTCACACGTTGTGGTGACATCACATATACAGTATCCAGTGAAAGTGGTTCATATGTTTTTTAACTGTTCCATTTAGGCAGGATGAATTGGATGTAGTACAGTGGTGCCTCGCTTAGTGATGTTAATTGGTTCAAAAAAAAACACATTGCTATGGGAAAACATTGCTAAGTGAAACACCATTTCCCATAGGAATGCATTGAAAACCGGATAATCCGTTCCAATGGGAACGGATTACCGTCCTTAAGCAAAAATCGCCATAGGAAACATCGCTAAGCGAAATGCGGTCCCCCCATTGGAATTTTAAGACATTTTAAGACACTTTAAAAATAGCAAAAACGGACATGGTTAAGCGAATCAGGGGGACCCAAACTGTCATCGCTATGTGAGGCATGGTCCCGAACATCGCTATGTGAAATTCCCCCATTGGAAACATCGCTAAACAGAGCGCAAGATCGCTCCTAAAACCTCATCGCTAAGCGAATACATCATTAAACGAAGCAATAGCTAAGCAAGGCACCACTGTACATTCATCTACCCACCCCAAGCAGGACATATCCCCTTTCATTTCTTGTGCCTTTCTGTACTCCCCTTCCCTTTTTTAAAAAAAATGTGTGGGTACATTGATGTGTTGGCAAAATGCCCTTGCTGGCCACGTATTGATCTGGGGCATTTTTGTGCTTCCTTATCCTATTTCTGTGCTTCACTATCCTCTGTGGATTAGAAACCACAATGCACTGCAGTGGCAGTCAAAAGACAGTAGGGAGATTGATGCCCCGTATTTAACAACATGGTAACATTCGCATTTGAAAATTAATTAAAAAAATTAAGGGAGCCTGTATTTAACAACATGGTAACATTCACATTTGAAAATTAATTAAAAAACTAAGGGAGTAAAATGACAGTAGATGAGGGAGATGGTTTTGGAGTACACACTCAATGGGATGTTGGTTATACTGAGCAATGAAATGGGGAACATATATAGTAGTAGCCTCCCAGCGGGCAGGTTTTGATGTGGAGATAGCATGGAGGGAGAACAAAAGAATTGATAATGTCCTTGCATTGTCTGAACCAAAAAAGAGGTTGGAATTCATGAGAAGTAATTTAGAAATATTTTGCTGGTGTGACCGCAGCCTAATTTCAGCAAATCCTGTGGTATTTGATCAATAGTTACAGCCTGGATTGGGATCTACATGGAAGTCTTGAATGGGCCTTTGTAGCAGATCAGGGGATCTGTACACAACACTGTTCCATTCCTTCCTGCCTGGTTTTCAATTTCAACCCGCAGCTTCTGGCATTCCAGTATACTATGGCCACTGAGTGGGCTCAGGCCTCAATGGGAAAAGTTGAGTCCTCTCCCTTCCCATTTTTTTTTTTCACTTTCAAAATCTGATACTCCCCGTATGTTTATAAGTGGTGGCTCCATAACAAAAGG